TCCCCAAACAAAAACAAAAAAGACACTATGAAAGTAAGAATATACTAACAATAATTTTTAAAGTAAAATAACCACTAATATATTATATAGTGGAATTACCAAAAATATATTTTCAAAGCAAAGTAACCAACAATAGATTTTATCTGTGTTCAAAATATTTATATCTCGGCATCAAATAACCCATAAAGTTTGTTATGCCGCTGAACAAATTCAACCAACGAAGCAACCAAAACGAAATAAGTCTGTCATAACATTAATCGATATAATATCCTACAATATCTTAAAGAAATCAAACTGTATTCCAAACTACAACATAAAACACACATATCACCGCCTCTAGTAACTCACGATCACGAGTCCCGTAACTCATCGGCGACTTAGAGGCATAGCATATATTGCTGCCGCAGTAGAATTAGTATATCTTGGGCAAGAAAGCCTAACGGAGCTCAACCTTCTCCAGGCTGGTTTAAATTCAGCATTTTTCTTCTCTTAAATCGGCTGCTACTCAAGGCTATAGAACCCTGTCTGTTCTGCTATTTACCCATAGCTGGGGGAAAAGAGATAGTATTAGCTCGTAAGTGAATGTAATGAACTCGACTGAAATTCGAACTCGACTGTCTGAGTCCTCAATCCGAGTCGCAATTCATTGCCTCTAGTGATTATGTCCACACAAACATGAATATGCAGAAAAAGCTAAGTATCATCTACCAAGTATTCAAATGTGAAAACAAAATAACATAGATAATATTTTTATTACTTCAAAGCTCCCAAGAAAATTATATCTCGATATTAAATGACCCATAAGAAGTTTATGTGCCATTGAACAAACAAATCCAGTTCATACGACATGATCGGGTCATCGAAAAATCAACCGGTTCGATAACGTAGATTTTCTGGTGAGGTGGTTTGTTAGACTCCCAGTAGGATTAAAAATAAAACTTGTCAAAGAGCGGATGGGCCATCTTGTAGGGTCAAGGGCCATCTAATACAGTGGGGTAGACTAGGCTCTATAGCTATGGATGCAGCCAGTGGGGGTGAGGACACAGCATCGTTGGGTGGAGGGCTTCCTCGGCTGAAGTTAACGACTAAAGAGGAAGTTTACCCCAATGGAATCACGGGCCGAGTGTCCATAACCAAGGTGAGCCTTGAAGATGGAGGCTATCGTTTCTGAGGTTCTTTTTGGAAAGGGATGGGCTTCGTCAGGTGTAATTGCTCATGACACGCTATGTGGGAATGGATACCTTTCCGTATTTCAACCCAGATATTTGGAAAGGATTGGTCAGGTGCTCAGCTTCCAAGTGGCAACACCTACTTATAAAAATGATAATGCTGTTGTTAATGATGATGATCTTAATCTGGCATGAGACTACACGAATGGAGCACTCAATTAATACAGAAGTTGTCATACGGGCAAATTGATATGTAGAAAAAGCTTGTTAACCATTGGGTTATGGTGGGCGTGGTCATTTAATTATGTAGTATGGTTAGCTTAGTCTAACACAAGGTTACTTTAGAGGAGTACCTAGTTAGGATCTGAGGAAAAAAAACACATCTAAGGAAAAGCTTGTTAACTATTGTGCTGTGGTGGGTATTTTCAGATAGTCATTTACTAAATATAGCTTAGTATGGTACAAGATTACACCCAGTGAGGATTCATTATATAAATATGTATGCAGAAGATGTTTGTTAACCATCACTCTAAGGTGAGCATTTAGGCAATTATTAATACGACCATTTTTACTGTCTTGCATACGCGTCAACTTGAATTGCATAAAGGCGATGAGTACTCAGGTCTTTTCCTGTTTGTTTCAGGCCAAACGTGCTATTTTATTGCGAACTGATTTTGGATTTCTTGAGGAAAATGAGGAACTGCAGGAAGGGGAATTTTCTTTATATGGAATGCGTGTGTAGAACGACGTCTTGTGTACACGACGGGGCTAATCATTTAGAACACAGAATTAATAGACAGAATTCGTTAAATTGACTCATGCATAAGTTTTCTTATTCCGTGTATGTTATTTTTTTATTTGATTTTTGCATTTGTTTTATGAATTTCTTTAATTTTATGTTTCTTCCTTTTAATCAATTTCTTTATTTTTCAATTTCATTTCATTATTTTCTTCTGATTTTTAAGTCTTCGATATTTATTTTCTTTTATTTACATCTTCCTTTCTTACTTTCTTTCCTTTACCGCTCTTTCTTTCTTTCTTTCTTTCTTTCTTCCTGTTTTTCTTTCTTTCTTTCTTTCTTTTACTGCCCTTTATTTCTTTTTTCTTTCAACGCTCTTTCTATGTTTGTTCGTTTCTTTCTTTCTTTCAATCAGTATTGTTTTTTTCTTTTTGTTCTAGTTATTGTTATTCAGCTTTTGTTAAATATTTCTCTCTTCACTGCTTCTTCTATTCCGTCTTCCTCCTATATTTTCTTTTATTTGCATCTTTTTCTTTCTTTTAGCGATCTTTCTTTCTTTCTTTCTTTCTTTCTTTCTTTCTTTCTTTCTTTCTTTCTTTCAATCGCTATTGTTTTTTTTCTTTTTTTTCTGTTTAATGTTATTCAACGTTTGTAAAATATTTCTCCCTTCACTGCTTCTCCTTGTTTCGTTTTCCTTCTATATTTTCTTTTATTTACATATTTGTCTTTCTTTTACCGATCTTTCTTTTACCGATCTTTCTTTCTTTCTTTTACCTCCCTTTATTTCTTTTTTCTTTCACTGCTCTTTCTATGTTTGTTCATTTCTTTCTTTCTTTCTTTCTTTCTTTCTTTCTTTCTTTCTTTCTTTCTTTCTTTCACCGCACATTCTTCTGATGTAAAAAGATTTGCTTCTTTCTTTGTTAGTTTTTGTATTCGTCCTATATTTTTTCTTTTATTATCTCTTTCTTTTTTCTACATTCTTTCTTCCTTTTTAATTTTCTTTCTTTTTTTCATCTTTTCTCATTCTTTTCTTCTATATTTAATCTGTTTTTTTTTAATTTATTTTTCTTTCTTTCATATAACCATTTTTCTATTTTCGTCGTATTTTTCCTTTATTTTTCTTTCTTTCTTTCTTTCCTTCTTTCACAAAATCATCTTGTGAACTTTTTGATATTTTAAATATTCTTTCTAGTTTATTTGGCTTCCTTTTTCCTCAAATTTATTTTCATCCATAAATTTTCTTTTTCTTTCTCACTTCACCCTTCTTCTTTTCTCATTCACTACGATTGTTTTTCTAACTCTTCAATCGCGTCCATCTTTAATTTCTCACAGTGAAGATTATTTGATAATTGGTTATGAAAATATTTTCCTCAAGGCACATTTCGAAGAATTAAATTCATTTAAATATATTGAATTTTATCAAAGAGATACTGATCATATGATTAGAAACAAGATGGCGTCTGCGCATTTCAAAAATCGCCCAAACGACTTATCTCTGACCTTTTCCTTTCTATATATTGGGACATCACATTGACGTCATGAGAAATAATTCAATGTTTTGTTTTATTGCCTCGGTGTTTTTTATCACATCGAAACGAATATTTTTTAATAAATACATATACAGGAAGGAATAGGTAAAAAAAAAGAAGCTTTCTATATTGACAAATTTTTAAAATATTGTTTTTGAACAAACACGCGTTCTTTAATAATTAGCGTTGCAAAGATCTTCATAAATAAATATAGCTGGTTTTAGAAAACTCGAAGATCATTCGGAAATATTTTAAATAGAATTTTATAGCGTGTGAATATATTAACATATTAAATATCAATTTAAAAATCCGAAAGTCGGTTTTTAAAATGCACAGATAATTTATGACGACAACGGTGCTTCTGTTTTCACGATAATATTTAGCATTGGCCTTTTTTACATATATGTTCTTTTTTCTTTATTTCTTTCTTTGCTTTTCCTTTCTGTCGTTTATTCTTTCTTTCTTTGTTTCGTTTGTTCTTCCTTTCTTATTTCTTTTTTGTTTCTTTCGTTTGCTTTTATTTCTTTTGTTTGTTCTTTCTTTCTTTTTTCTTTCTTTCTTTCCTTTGTTCTTTATCTCTTTCTTTTTCATTCTTGTTTCTCTTGTTTGTTTTGTTCTTTCTTTCTTTCGTTTGTTTTGTTTTCTTTCTTTCTTTCTTTCCTTTGTTCTTTCTTTTTTGTTTTTTTTTTGGTTCTTCTTTTTTTTTTCTTTTGTTTGTTTGTTTGTTTCTTTTTTTCTTTGGTTTTCTCTTTCTTTTCTTTCTTTCATTTGTTCTTTATTTATCTCTTTTGATTGTTTGTTTCTTTCTTTCGTTTATTTTTCTTTCTTTCTTTTCCTTTTTTTCCGTTGTTCTTTCTTTTTCTTTGTTTCTTTTTTGTTCTTTTTTCATTCTTTCTTTTGTTTGTTTGTTTCCTTTTCATAAAAAAGTTTTTGTTATTTATATTTATTCATCTTTTATTTCCTGTATATAGGTTCGCTTATCGTTCGGTTCATATTCCTCCCCGGTCTTTTGAACAGGAGTAGAGGTTTATCCCTTGTTTCCTGATTAGAATTGGATTTCTGGTTCCTTCTAAAGTCTGCGCATTTTATTTCACCTTTGCGCCTTAATGGAATTATTACCTTTTTTCTGTCTTTTAAACTAAATCTACCTTTTTGCATCTCTTCACTTTTTTAAGTTTCACAATTTTATTGGCGAAACATTCTTTGTATATTTCTTTTTTCCTGTGGTTGAGGAGGCTCATTTCATTCAGCTTTTCTCTCTATCTCCATTATTATTACTGAGATTCCTTCTTGCATTCCTATATGCATTTTTCGAGAGCTCTTCTGGGCCGGACTTTGATTCTATTCATTCATGAAGTAGGCGAAGACTTAAGGACAATTTCGCCTGAACGCTTGCCTTTTTTTTTTCGAAGAATTTCTCTCTTGCTCTCAGACATTTCTGGTTTCGTTTTTGCATACATCTCTCTCGCTCTTTTTTCTTTATTTTTTTATCTGTCCCTCTTTCAAACAATCACAAGCGAACACATTATGCAATTTCATTTTCTCTTTCGTTCTCTCATGCACCTACACACTGACATATACAAACACAGACACATATATACATGATTCTTCACTTGCATGCATTTCCATAACGTCCATATTAGTTTTCTCAATATTTCGGCGCATGCGCCTCCATGGTGAGATTTTGGTTTTTATATTCGACTCGCGTACTGCCAGCGTATTGTCGTTATATTGGGAATGACGTGTGAAGAATGAATGGTGTTTATTGGCCGAATGGATTCGGTATGAGAGTCGCACGGAACTTCTAGATTTAGCAGAATTTGGCCACGCATTGTGCAGTCAAGGAATTGGTCAAACTTTGTTGGAATAAGCTTTTAATATTATGATTCTTTTTCTCTCTTTCTTTTCTAATACCCTCCTTTATTTCTTATATAAATCTTTTCTGCCTTTCTTTGTTTCTTTCCTTCTTCTGCAATATTTCTTTCTTTCTTTCTTTCTTTCTCAATGCTTTTATTAGTTGTGGCACAAGACCGAAAGTATGGGGCACCCAGTGAGGATCGAACTCACTACTCAGTCGTAATACATCTAGCAATACAAGCTTTCTAACCATAATACCACGTCGAGGTGCCCATCTTTTCTCTGTATATAGTGCTTTACCTTGTGTATACCGTGTTTTCTTTCCTTTCTTCTTCATATGTAATTGATTCCAGCCGACAGGCACAATTTCTTTATTAACATTTTTTCTCTTTAGTTCGGTAAACACCAATTTCCCTTTCAAAAATAATGATATCTCCTGAGACGTATGCAGCTACTATTTCTAGAGTTCATAATATCTGTATAATATATATACGGAAAATTAAACATTCCTATAACTTTACATATATAACCCCCCCATATATTTAGTTAAAAAGTTCTTGATAATGGCTTAAAGAATAGCCGAAAGCGCAGAAATTTTGGACAATAGTAATAAATAGTGGCTCGGATTAAGGAATCAGAGAGCCGACTTCGAATATCAGTCAAATCCATTACATTCACTTACCTTTTAATATCCTTGGGAAAGGTATGAATCCTCTTCTTCTCCCCCAGCTATGGGTAAATAGCAGGACAGACTGATTTCTATAGCCTTGGATAGCAACAGGTCTAGGAGAAGGACAACTCCGAATTCAAATCTGCGGGGGGTCGTTTGGGGACGTTGTGGCATATAGCGCACCAGGTCTCTGTATTCGGCCCTTCAAAAAGTGTGGTTCGTTCTGCACAAAGCTTTCACCACTATAATCAAATCATATGTGTTGTTGTCTGGCTGTCGGTTTCTAGGAACTGAGCTGCTTGATCTTCATACGTCGAATACGACTGGAGTGTCCACCATATATATATATATATATATATATATATATATATATATATATATGCATTCGATTAATGCAATTTCTCATCAGCGCAGAAAGTGGAATCGGCTAGATGGGTTCAGATTCTGGCCTACAGCACACTCTGTTTCGTACTACTGCTCTTGGGAAAGGCAAGTCATGAATTCATATCTTGTTCTCCAAGATATGGGTTAAATAGGGAGAGAGACTGAAATTTCTCGTCTTGGGTGGCAAGAGAATAAAATCTGATTCCAAACTCTGGAGAAATCAACGAGGAACCACTTCCCAATTTTTCCCAGACATTTTGCAGCCATTCATGATCGCTTACGTTCTGACAAGTTATGCGAGTTTTAAATGATGTATATATATATGTGTATACATACTCATAAATTGGTCAGACGAAAAACTCTTTTAGCAGAAGACTGACAACACATTTAAGTGGACGCTCTATCTTCGCTGAGGAAGCACTCATACATAATCTCCTGCTCTTATTAGAAAAAGAAATCTTTGTAGATAACACTATCATTCTAAAAACGCCTCAATGTAAAAGACGTTTAATAATAATGGAAGCATTTTTTATAAATTTAAGCCAACCCTCAATATCGCTTTGAAACTTTGAAACAAGCTGGATTCTGTCTGATGTGTTTTGAAGGCACACAGCATGAAAATGCTTCTACTCCTGTACCATACATCTTAGTATTACTATTACTTCTATGAAGTATAGCTTATAAAATAAAAACTGGACCAACTTCTTCTTTATGAGCTGTATCCCCTCAGGACTTACGCGATCACGGCTCTCTACAACTTCCTTTCCCTTGTAGCCCTTAATAAATGTTGTCTTACTGTTATTTCTCCTAAACCCAGTTCCACCATCCATTTACTCAAGCTCATGTTATGCGTTGTTTTCTTCTGTTACTCTTGCTTTCAATCTGCCCTGTGAGTATCAGATTTTCTAAGCCCTCCTTCCTCATTATGCGCCCCAGAAACCTTAACTCTCTCTTCTTGATGTTAAGAATAAGTTTCTTCTTTGTTCCCATTTTCTATAAAACTTCATCTTTGCTCACATGTTCGGTGCATGGTATCCTCAGCATCCTTCTGTAGAACCACATTTCTGTTGCTTTAAGTTTCTTCTTCATCGTTGAGGAGATTGTCCAGCACTCATTGACAGATATCACGTAAGAGTTTAGTACTCTTTTCCTTGCGAAATTTTTCTATTTCTTAGTATTTATACGGATCTACGGACATTTTCGGATAACCCATATTAAATTCGGCCTTGTGCCACATCTGACCGCGTCGGGTGATTGGTAGATATCCTGCAGTTAGTGATTTGTCTCCAGCTGTGCTGGTCAAACACTCTGCCTCCGGTCATAGAGGATCTTCAGACGAGGCTATGTGTAAGGGCAGAGTCTCGTCTCGGGAAACAGCTTCCAGATTCCGTTTTATTCGGGGTCTACGGGAAAATTCTGATCGAGTCTACGGACTCGGAGAGGCCACATTAAATTCGGCCTTGTGCCACATCTGGTTGGCAGATATCCTGCAGTTGGAGAGTTATTGTGGAATTTAGTTTAATAACTTATACGCGACGCTGGCGAATCTTATATGTGTTGTTCGTGTCCTATGTATTATCGTTCATTACCAACCTTTTTTTGATTATTCTATTCAGTAAACTTTCCTTGGTTACAACATTCCACTTGCAATTCGCTCTTTGTGCTCATCCTTTTGTTAATAAGCATACATTCTGTCTTCTTGTAGTTGATTTTGAATCCTTTCTTCTGGATTTCCTTCACGGCCTTCTCTAGGAGTTTTTGTAGTTTTCTTTTTGTGTCTGGTATCGGCACTGTGTCATCTGCATATCTTATGTTAAGATTGTGGGAGCCAATAATAAATCCTGATAGAACTTTTAATTCCCTCAGAATCGCCTCGATTTACATGTTGACTAAGTCTGGTGAGAAACGGAAACATTGTCTTACACTTTTTTCTACTTTTGAAAATTTGCTGAAATCATTTTTTATCCGTGTGTAGTCGATTTGCTGCCAGAATAGATCCTTAATTATTCTAATATCCTTCCCAAATATATCAAGGTTTCCGATTAGATCCAATAGATTTTTGTGGCAACTAGCCATTTGAAACAGCTAGGGAATTAACCAAAACTGTTTGGAACAGTAATCACCACAGACAGTTTCAAGATTATTTTCATCCTCATAAAGGGAAAACTGTTATGACATGAGAAAGACTAAATAAAAACCTCAATAAATTTTCATGGTGAGTCTGACCCAATAAAGCTTGTATCTATATATATAAAACGGAGGATGTCTGTGTGTGTGTCTGTCTATCGGTGTGATACTTTTTTACTTGAGATTCATCCTACTGATTTTGACCAAACTTGGCACATACATTGTACAATGTAAGAGATAGGTTCTTAGCGTAAAAAATCGGTAATTTAAAAAAACATCAATAATCGATCAAGCCGATCAAAATCGATAATTTCAATTTTTTTCTCCGATTTCGTTCAAACTCGATATGTAGGTTAGTTATATCACGACGAGTTCAACGATAATTAATTTTCATTTCTAAGCGATTGCGGCTAGCTAAAAACCGCGAAAAACGTAAAATCGATTTCAACACAAATTTTAAATTAAAATCTCCCTCAATTTTCTAGCAATCTAATGCAAACTACACTCAATTGTAGCCAACAATATGTTGATTGTTTAACAGTCATTTAACTTGATAACTGAGTCCACCCATATAGTGAAAATCCGCGTAAATAGCAAAAAATGGCGATTTTTACTGGTTTCTTTCTTATTTTTCGTTGATCTTTCAAACAATTTTTATCAAACTTCACAATTGATTTATAAATGTATTGACTTTTACATCCCTGGTAGAACACTGACAAATCTAATTTCAAAAATTGCAAAATAATTGTGTTCTGAAGTGGGTCTTCGTGTTGCTTGTTTTAACCCTCCATGTCCTTCGATTGAATAAATACAGACTAATTCTGTTATATCAGTAACTGCATTAATTTAAAATGATTTTAATGAACGTACTGTAAAGTAATTGAAGATTGTAGACTCTGTTACATCTAAACATGATGCTGTTTTTGCTCCATTCTCATTAAACGCTTTTTTCTGATCGACCAGCTGGGTATAGCCGCTAGTTATATATACAAACGCACACACGCATATGTATGTAAGCAACCGGAGGCGCGTGTATGTGTCTGACATATGCAAAAGAAAGAAAGAATGTAAGCCTGAAGGTAATGCACGTGAATTATCACTATTTAATTTGTACGCAAGATAGCAGTTTCGATTATCAAATAATAATTTAGTAAACTCTAAAAATAATCAAATCATTTATTGTAACACTACTAACATGTTACTCGGAGTTACATTTATTATTTTATTGCTTCTATTCATTTTTGTTGATCACTTCTTCAAAATAAAAAAACCTGTTTTCTAATCTCCACAGATGAATGTATTTAATCAGAAAATCGAATTGTCGATTTTTTTTTTTTTTGGTTTGTCTTTAGTTTATTCATATTCCTCGCCGAAATACAAATTTTGCATAAAAGTGTGGTGGTGGTGGTGGGGGTGTGTGTGCGGAATAATTTCGAAAGAGTGAAATAAGGAAAGAAAGATATTGTATAAAATAGAAATGAAAGTTAAGAAAAGGATTGCATACGTAAAAAAACTGAAGAAATAAAATTATTGCATAAGAGAAAAGAGAAGGAAAAATAAATCAAAGAAAGAAATGAAATCATTACGAATGAAATAGAAAAGAAAGCAACAAAGAAATAATAATATTGCATAAGAAATAAAGAATAATATATAAGAATACACGCATAAAAAGAAAAAGAAAGAGAAGGAAACAGAAACGAAAAAAGAAAAAGAAACTTAAAAAAAAAGAAAAAGAAAAGCATTGTACAAAGATAAAGAAAGAAAATAATTTGCAATGAAAACGAGGGAGAAATAGATAGAAAAGTGATATAGATCGAAAAAGGAAAGAGATAGAAAAAAAGAAATAGAAAAAGAGTTAGAAAAAAGAAAGAGATAAAAAGAAATAGATCGAAAAAGAAAAGAGATAGAAAAAAGAAAGAGAAAAAAGAAAGAGATAAAAAAAAGATAGAAAAAGCAAATAGATAGAAAAAAAGAAATAGAAAAAAAGAAATAGAAAAAAAGAAATAGAAAAAAAGAAATAGAAAAAAGAAATAGATATAAAAATGAAAAAAACAATGTTCTACAAATATTTTCATGGTAATTGTTCTGCTAAGCTTTACTCCTTAATTCCTCGACTACATTAATTTAATCGTAGTTCAAAATTGGTAACTAGATCTCACCATTTTAATGTCGAACTAGCAAGATGCAAACCGTCCTTTTCTAATTGTTTTTCTGTGAAATTCCCTACATTGTTTTTGCTTCACTGCCACCTACAATTTTCCAAAATTTAAATGTAACGTCAATCGCCATCTTCTAACTTCCTAAACTCTATTCTTTTATTGTCCTTTCTCCTCACTAAAGTCTTCTCATTTTCTTTCACTCCAGGTAACTACTTGAGTCTTAGTGACGTTATAGCCTTATCTGGGATGAAATGATTAAAGAAATAAGAAAGAAAACGAAAGGCAATGAAAAAATGGAATAAAGAAAAATATTGCATAAAATGAAAACGAAGAAAAGATGGAAATAGAATAAAGAAAAATGGAGAAAGAAAAAAGATGGAAACTATTGAATTAGAACTGAAGAATAAGAAAGTAAATCCCTCCATAAGGAAGGGAGACAAGTAGAACGTACTGCACCGAATCTAAAATATTACTGTCGGAAAAGGAACCAAAGGAAGAAAAATATACAAAAAAAAAAAAAAGATAGTTGTTGAATACGCAAGAAAGAAAGAAAATATAAAAGAACAACAAACCATGGGAATGAAAGAGGGAAAGAAAAAAATATCGGTCCGTAAATAAAAAATAAAGTAAAAGAATTACATTAGAAAATAATTTACTTTATGAGAAAGAGAGAAAGAAAGTAAAACGATAGAAAAAAAGCGACCCACGCATAAAAAAACAAAAAAAAACTAAAGAACATTGTTATGAATAATCAAGAGTGATCTTCCCTTGTTTTGTTACTCTCCTCTTCGAGAGAGCTATTTCTGTTTACTGGGTCTATAAAAGAACACTATACGCGAACATTGTATTATCAGCTGAATAAAGCATTTTTAAAGCTTACACCTGCGTATTTTTGTCATTACACACTGCGTAAGGAAAATTAAAAAAAGAAATGTAATCAGTGTATTGAATATGGTTGTTTTACGACACCTGATCAGTAGTCAACCTTCTGTTGCCTGATTCTTTACTACACAAAATTTTTACTCAGTGTCTCATTTGTTTAAAAGTCAGTGCTTACTTGGTTTGGTTCCAAGAATTTCATTTGTGAGGATGCCGTTTGAAATCGTTTGTTTTCAATCTTCAAGGAGCGCTGGCTATACGTGTCACTGTACTTCTACTGCTACTTATCTAATCATCAACTTACTACTGCTATCAGTACCCTAGTTTACTCTACTGTTCTCTATTCGACTGATTCTCTTGAAGTATCGTTTTTATTAATGATGAGATTTAGGATAATGAAATATCCTTCTTTTCTATCATCACCGATGATATTATTAGAATGATGAAATATCATCATCATTTTGGACCATAACACAATAGCCAACATATCCAAATAGATAAAATCGTACTTACCAATCCCACTACACTGTGAAAAAATTAGAAATGAATGAAAAGAAAGAAAACCTGGCATAAAAATGGAAACAAGAAAAAAAGAAAACGTTTGAAAAGAAAGAAAAAAGCCTTTGAAAAGAAAGAAAGAATTACGCCTGAAAAGCAACAAAAAAAAAAAAAAAAAAAAAAAAAAAAAAAAAAACGTTTGAAAAGAAAGAAAAATGGCTTTGAAAAGAAAGAAAGAATTATGTCTGAAAAGCAATAACAAAAAGAAAAAGAAAAAAAGAAAACGTTTGAAAAGAAAGAAAAATGGCTTTGAAAAGAAAGAAAGAATTATGTCTGAAAAGCAATAACAAAAAAAAAAGAAAAAAAGAAAAAAATAATTACATGAAACGGAAAAGAAAGATAACATAAAAAGTAACCTTATTCAAAAGCAAATCTATATTTCTGATGCCTCCGCCTAAACTCTGAAATTTTATTTACTATTTATTTGTAATTTTATTTTATTTTCATTCTCAATAGGACAATAAAATAAATTCGCTTATCATCGCATTCACCCTCCTCCCCGGTCTTTTGAACAGGATTAGAATTTTATCCCCTGTTTAGAATTGGACTTACGGTTCCTTCTTTTATTCTTTCACTTCCATTATCCTCTTGCGTCTTAGCGGCGCTGTCGCCTTGCTTGGGGTGAGTTGATTAAAAAATCATTATATCCGATATTAATATATGAAAGAAATTGAGCAAAATCTGAATAGATGCTTCATAAGAAGTGAAGTATGAGCAAAGACAGATAGACATTTAGGGGAGATGATCGGGAGTAATTGTGTCTGAAACAAAGAAAAAATAGAGAACGAGTTCTAAGGAGAAAGAAGAAATTCGTAGGGCGAGAAACGGCTTCAAAGAAAATATGAAAGAGCAAGAAACGCAAATAAAAATAATGAAAAAAAAAAATCAGACAAAATACGGAAAAAAAAAATATATATATATATAAATCAAACAAAAAACCGTATAAACAAAGGAAGAAAAAGAACGCACACTGAGAAATGGAAAGCCGAACAAAAATGAAAGAATAATTAATTCGTTTTCTACAGTTTGTAAAAAAGTATTCTGGCTTTAAATAACCTTGAAGGTTATTTAAAGCCAGAAAAATTTTTTTTTACAGACTGATGCATCAAATTTCGAATAAACTCTTGACAGTTAAGATATCCTATATGAAATACTTTTAAAACTGTACGAGAGAGGCCGGGTGTATAGAGGACGCGCAGTAATATTTTTATCTTCGTGCAGTAATATTTTTATTTTCGACACTTGAACTTGAACTTAGATCGCCAGTGACCAGACACAGGCGATTCCATTATTAAATTAAGTAGACCACGTGACCAAAAAGGAAAGACATATATGGTAAGTCGCGTGACGTCTCGGGGATCGCTTTTTCTAGTCTATCCCCTATACTATACGGAACTCTATTTCTAGACTATCGTCTATTATTATTCGGATCGCTATTTCTATTCTATCCTCTATTATTATACGGACCGCTATTCTCTACTCTATTCACTATACTATTTCTCTATTCGGATCACTATACGTATTACTATTCGAGCGAGTATTATCGAGCAAGTGCTATTAGTGTGTTATTCGAAGGCGTCTGAAACCAGCATTGTTCAACGGTGTTACTATAGTTGATTCTGCTATTACTAAGTCTCTACTACAACGAGAATTACGAAAGTGACAACGAGTATTCGTTGACATCACAAAAATATTGTAGAATTTTTTGGTTTGGAGATAATAATAGCTTTAATGATAAAAGTCTTACTAATTAAACCAAATCTGAGAAGGCGAATAAGTCGATTCATAACTTTCCCAAGAGTATTTGTGCGTAAGTGAATATAACGAACCCAACCGGAATTGGAACTCGGTTATCTGATTAACAATTCCGAGCCATTATCCAGTACACCACGCTCACATCCAAGATTACAGCACCTGGTATTCCGAAGCGGTCACCCATCTAGATGCTGACCAGACCCGACGTTGCCAACTTCAGTGTTCGTACGCGGAGCAGTTTTTCAACGTGATGTGACAATCAGCCTGTACTTGATATAGTCAGAGGTTTTGATAAAAGCAACGCGGAACCTAGCAGGTGTGGTCGAGATGGAAACACATTCAGGTCGTGTAACCCAGTCCGCTCTGACGGTTTCTGATTGAAAATGTCCCGCAATATTAAGACGTGACTTCCAGACCCCGTGTCCGCCTCATCCTTCAAGCATAATATTCACATATAGGTATTGACGAGGTTCGACGTTGCTTAACTTCAGTGATCATAAGAGAACCGGTGTTTAAACGCGATATGGCCGTAAGCTTTTTTTTTAATCAGAAAAAAAGAGGGAAGACGAAAGAAAAAGCAAAAAGTAGTCGGAGAAATGAAAAGCTGAACGAAGATAAAATGGTAAAGCAAAAAGGGAAGACAATCTGTCACAAAATAGTGAAAAGGATGACGATTAAAAAGAGCCAAACAAAGAGAAAAGAAGAAGAAAAAGGAGAAGAAGAAGAAGAAGAAGAAGGAGAAGAAGAAGAAGAACGGGAGAAAAAGGAAAAAGTAGTTGAAGAAATGAAAAGCTGAACGGAGATAAAAGGGTAAAGCAAAAAGGGAAGACAATCTGTCGCAAAACAGTAAAAAGAAGAAGATTAAAAAGAGCAAAACAAAGAGAAAAGAAGAAGAAGAAGAAAAGGAAGAAGAAGAAGAAGAAGAAGAAGAAGAAAAGAAAAAAGGAGTCGGAGAAATGAAAAGCTGAATGAAGAAAAAAGGGTAAAGCAAAAAGCGAAGTAATAAAAAGAAGACGATTAAAAAGATCAAAACAAAGAGAAAAGGCGAAGAAGAAGAAGAATGGTTTAGTAGGAAGAGAGAAAAAGAGGGAAAGAGAAAAAAGGGAAACGAGAAGAAAAGGCGAAGGGAAAGAATAAACAGGAGAAAAGTGTGAAGTGACGAGCGCTGCTCCATGAAATTATTTGCAAGTGCAATGGAATGACGCCCACGGACAGCTGCACGAAATGTCGGCAAAAGTTTTATCAATAAAAGACTTGTCACATGTGACGCGTCAAGCGAGTACAGAACATATCTGTCACTTTCAATACTGTCCAAAAATAGCCAGGGGGCTGATGACTATATCCATGAAAGAGAAGAAAAGAGATTCGGACGTGTTACTGAAATAGAAAATTATATACTTACATCAAAATATGAGAGTCGATCGAAAAGTAACACTTGTTCTTCAGTAATCAAAACAGTAGAACAAAGACCATCTTCTATTTCTATGCAACGTGTCCTTTTAATGTGTTTGCGATCATGGCTCTTCACAATTGCCTGTCCTTTATAGCTCTTAACAAGTTCTGTCTTTCTGCCATCATTCGCACAACGTTGATAAACTTCGGTGATCGTATGGGGACCAGTGTTTCAACGTGATATGGCCTTTGTTATTTGTGAGGTTTCGGCCGGAACAGTATCGTTAATATTACGAATAAATCTATTAGTATGTGACAGCTGATTCAGTTGCAGATGAAACTCGTATAAAACCGCTTCTATTCATCTGGTCTCCCTCAAACAACAGCACAAATATTTAAAGTACGAAAACTTAATACGCAATAACTTATTCGAAATCTTATGTATAATTCACAAATTGTTAACGTTCGGTTGATATAGTTTAGGATATTGTTGTAGCATACCTACGGACAATAATGAGTATGTCCCCATTCACATAAATAGAGTAGTTAATACTGTATGTTGATCTGCAGTTGGAGATCTTCAGACGACGCTATGTCGAAGGGCAGAGTCTCGTCTCGTGAAACAGCTACCCGACCCCATTTTATACGGAGTCTACGGCGAATTTTTGGCCGAGTTTACGGGCTCGGAGAGCCCACATTAAATCCGGCCTTGTGCCACATCTGACCGCGTGGGGCGGTTGGTAGATATCTTGCAGTTGGAGCTTCACTGTGGAATTCACTTTACTCACTTCCAGCAGTTGACAACTTCTACGCGCCACTGACGAATCTTATATGTGTTGTTCTTGTCCTAAGTATTATCGTTTATTATCAACCTTCGTGTGATCATTCTATTCAGTAACCTTCTCTAGGTTACAACAGATATGATACTAAGTAATTTATAAGGATATCAAAGCTGATTTATTTGAAGATAAAAATATTACTGGGGGTCTTCTATACACCTGGCCTGTCTCGTACAGTTTTAGAAGTATTTAATATGGGACATCCTAACTGTCAAGAGTTTATTCGAAATTTGATGTATTTTTATCCGTTTGTTAACTTACATCTGATATAATATCGGCCATGGGACGAAAGAATTAATATGGATATCAGAGATAATTTAGCTGAAGATGACGGTTGTAGATTAAGTTCCCTACTCTACCAGCCGCTCTTGAGCAATTTTCAAACCTGACACGTAGGAATTTAGTTGAAATTTTACATACGAGGTCTGTCTGAAAAGTGACTGGTGTCACAAACAATTTATTTCAATTCCAAACAACAAACTACATAGTTTTCTCTTCAAAATATCCGCCTCGAGTCTAATGCACTTTAACATCGTTCTCTGCCACGATAAACTACGTCCAATAGCAAGGCCTCTGATCAAGAGGTTTTGAGGAGCGTGGAACTACCTCTTAATTAACCGAATTTAATTTCGCTTGAGGATGAACTGGAACTAATGTCGTTAATTTAATTACAAAATTAAATTCGGGGCTTTTAGCTTCCATTTTTGAAACATGGTTAAAACTTTGTAGCGAAAAAAAAACATATTTTAAATCAATTAATTTATAATATATATATGTATATATATATATATATATATATATATATATATATATATATATGTATATATATAAAGTTAAATTATATAAAGATTATGCCTTATTATATAAATCAATTAAATACATTAATAATAAATAATAATATTAGTTTTAAATATTAATAACATAAAATAAAACATTAATGTATTAATATAAATAAATTAATATGAAAAATATTAATGGAAATAAATTTAATATAAAATATAAATTATATAAGGATTATCTATAAACAATATTAACCTCTTCGGCAGCAGGAGCAATTTCCGGTAAAACCATCTACCCCGGAGTTCTTTATATGTACTAGTGTACATAAATGTTCCGGAGAATTTAGTTGCTAAATCCAAGGTTATTTTCATTAAATTAGTTTTACTTCAAAATGAAGCATATATATTTACTATTTCTATAATACAATTTCTAAACTTATCTATTAGTAAAGAATAAAAAAAGCTTTTGTTTTTTAATCGAATGCTTGTGGGGTTCACCCAAAAATAAGATTGCAAGTGTTCCATCGGTAGAAAATGCTGAGAATCACTGATATAAACTGACTTCCAAAAATCAACCTCTTTTCCGAAGTGTGCATGAGCCAATCAAAACTTGCGATGATGTCTTTTGAGCATCGGTATTTTTCTTGGATGTCAACTGTTGGGAACGTGTTTATTGAGCTTCCTACGTGGGATGATGTCTTTTGAGCATCGGTATTTTTCTTGGATGTCAGCTGTTGGGAACGTGTTTATTGAGCTTCCTACTTGGGATGATGTCTTTTGAGCATCGGTATTTTTTTTGGATGTCAGCTGTTGGGAACGTGTTTATTGAGCTTTCTACTTGGGATGATGTCTTTTGAGCATCGGTATTTTTTTTGGATGTCAGCTGTTGGGAACGTGTTTATTGAGCTTCCTACTTGGGATGATGTCTTTTGAGCATCGGTATTTTTCTTGGATGTCAGCTGTTGGGAACGTGTTTATTGATGCTTCCTATTTTTTTTGGATGTCTTGGGATGATGTCTTTTGAGCATCGGTATTTTTTGGATGTCAGCTGTTGGGAACGTGTTTATTGAGCTTCTTTGGGGATGATGTCTTTTGAGCATCGGTATTTTTCTTGGATGTCAGCTGTTGGGAACGTGTTTATTGAGCTTCCTATGATTGGGATGATGTCTTTTGAGCATCAGTTTTTTTTTGGATGTCAGCTGTTGGGAACGTGTTTATTGAGCTTCCTACTTGGGATGATGTCTTTTGAGCATCGGTATTTTTTTGGATGTCAGCTGTTGGGAACGTGTTTATTGAGCTTCCTACTTGGGATGATGTCTTTTGAGCATCAGTATTTTCTTGGATGTCAGCTGTTGGGAACGTGTTTATTGAGCTTCCCTACTTGGGAATGTCTTTTGTCGTTTTTCTTGGATGTCAGCTGTTGGGAACGCTTCCTACTTGGGATGATGTCTTTTGAGCATCGGTATTTTTTGGATGTCAGCTGTTGGGAACGTGTTTATTGAGCTTCTTTTGAGCATCGGTATTTTCTTGGATGTCAGCTGTTGGGAACGTGTTTATTGAGCTTCCTACTTGGGATGATGTCTTTTGAGCATCAATATTTTTCTTGGATGTCAGCTGTTGGGAACGTGTTTATTGAGCTTCCTACTTGGGATGATGTCTTTTGAGCATCGGTATTTTCTTGGATGTCAGCTGTTGGGAACGTGTTTGGGATGATGTCTTTTCAGAGCTGTCAGCTGTTGGGAACGTGTTTATTGAGCTTGGGATGATGTCTTTTTTGAGCATCGGTATTTTTCTTGGATGTCAGCTGTTGGGAACGTGTTTATTGAGCTTCCTACTTGGGATGATGTCTTTTGAGCATCGGTATTTTTTCTTGGATGTCAGCTGTTGGGAACGTGTTTATTGAGCTTCCTACTTGGGATGATGTCTTTTGAGCATCGGTATTTTTTCTTGGATGTCAGCTGTTGGGAACGTGTTTATTGAGCTTCCTACTTGGGATGATGTCTTTGAGCATCTATTTTTCTTGGATGGCAGCTGTTGGGAACGTGTTTATTGGGATGTCATGTTGGGAACTTTATTGAGCTTGATGTCTTTGAGCATCGGTATTTTTCTTGGATGTCAGCTGTTGGGAACGTGTTTATTTTCCTACTTGGGATGATGTCTTTTGAGCATTGAGCATCGGTATTTTTCTTGGATCGGTATTTTTCTTGGAGCTGTTGGGAACGTGTTTATTGATGATGATCTTTTTTGAGCATCGGTATTTTTCTTGGATGTCAGCTGTTGGGAACGAGCATCGGTATTTTCTTGGATGTCAGCTGTTGGGAACGTGTTTATTGAGCTTCCTACTTGGGATGATGTCTTTTTGAGCATCGGTATTTTTCTTGGATGTCAGCTGTTGTTGGGACGTGTTTATTGAGCTTCCTACTTGGGATGATGTCTTTTGAGCATCGGTATTTTTCTTGGATGGCAGCTGTTGGGAACGTGTTTATTGAGCTTCCTACTTGGGATGATGTCTTTTGAGCATCGGTATTTTTCTTGGATGGCAGCTGTTGGGAACGTGTTTATTGAGCTTCCTACTTGGGATGATGTCTTTTGAGCATCGGTATTTTTCTTGGATGGCAGCTGTTGGGAACGTTTTATTGAGCTTCCTACTTGGGATGATGTCTTTTTGAGCATCGGTATTTTTCTTGGATGTCAGCTGTTGGGAACGTGTTTATTGAGCTTCCTACTTGGGATGATGTCTTTTGAGCATCGGTATTTTTCTTGGATGTCAGCTGTTGGGAACGTGTTTATTGAGCTTCCTACTTGGGATGATGTCTTTTGAGCATCGGTATTTTTCTTGGATGTCAGCTGTTGGGAACGTGTTTATTGAGCTTCCTACTTGGGATGATGTCTTTTGAGCATCGGTATTTTTCTTGGATGTCAGCTGTTGGGAACGTGTTTATTGAGCTTCCTACTTGGGATGATGTCTTTTGAGCATCGGTATTTTTCTTGGATGTCAGCTGTTGGGAACGTGTTTATTGAGCTTCCTACTTGGGATGATGTCTTTTGAGCATCGGTATTTTTCTTGGATGTCAGCTGTTGGGAACGTGTTTATTGAGCTTGAGATGTCTTTTGAGCCGGTATTTTTCTTGGGTCAGCTGATGTCTTTTTGAGCATCGGGATAT